TGGGACCCGAATGGACTCAAATTTCAAAATTCAAATTCAAATTCAAAATTCAAAATTCAAATTCAAAACACTTTTTTCCGTTAGTAACCGTGGTTCTCCTTCACCACAGACGTCGCTTCTCAGGAACAGTGGTTTCTTATGACTTCATATTATCATCACTACTGATAGGACATAATTACTATGCGTTATATCTTATTTGTCATTATCATCCTATTTGTAGGCCAGTTATCATATTTTTTTTAACACTTTATTATTGCACCTTTCCATCATAAAAGACACGATGATGATGATGTGATAATGATGGCGGTGGTGATATATAAACGGATTCACACGCGTTTTATGGAGTGCAGTATATGTCCTTATCGTTGTGATCATTATCGTTGAGATCATTATCACGGTCATCACCACCATCACAAACAGCATCAATATCATTAGTAAGATAATGCTTTTCATCATTATTATCCCTATCCGTATGCACAGTGTATCCACACACAAAGACACACACACACACAAGCACAAACTCTCATATATGCACACCCACAAGCAGACATACACACACCAGCAGAAACACACACAAAAAAGTACACGTCTTAGACATGCAATAATACCCTTATGTGAAATCAATTGAATGCCCTGTGATTCATCTGTCAAATGGTGAAATAAAGTATGATAGAAGTCAAGAAGACAACGAAGATGGAATGAGTGCGGGTTGCTATAAGGCGACGTGAATAAGACGAAGGGAAGCAATCAAATATGAGGTATACAGAAGATAAGGATGAAGAAATGTAGAATTGAAAGACAGGAGATGGATAGATAAAGAGAGTGAGAGTGAGAGGGAATGGAGGGAGGAGTAGGAGAGAGAGAGAGAGAGAGAGAATGTCGAAATGATTGAGTGGGAGGGAGAGGGGGGTAAGGAGAAAAAGGGCAAGATATGGAAATAGAGATAGATAAAAAGTTAGATTGATAGATGGAGAAGAGAGGGATGGGTGGGGAAAGAGAGAGGGGAGGAAGGGGGAAGGCCATCACCTGTGAACGTAAGATACCATATATGACCGAAGTAGTCATCTCCTTAGTGCAGGTGAATGAAAGGGGTCGTGGCTTGTGGGCTTATTGTTGAAGGTAGAATCAAAACCCCAAGAACCCCCCCCGTCTCCCTAAGTGCCTCGGGAAGTGATGACGAGCTAGACCCTGTGTCCCGTCGTCTATCTGCCGTCTAGTTCTCTGCGTCTCCCTTTGTCTGACGATAAATATTCCTTTTAGAGCGGGTACTTCCGTCCGCTGAAGCGTCGTAAGTGAAAGCAGTGCGGACACCTGCGTCTGCTTGAAGGATCACAGCTGCTGGGGACGGTGTGAAGCGTACCATCCAGCTTAGTTATGTATTGTTTAGAAGGTATACAACTGCGCAAGAGGAGAGTACGAGAATGCGAACGAGTGTAAGAGAATTAAGTGAACTGCTGTGACCCAATCTGTAAGAATTCAAAAAGAAAAGGCTAGTAAATCTTGCCCTTAGAAGAGAAATATAGAAAAAGTAGATACAATTTCTAAAGTTAAAGGGTCACTTAAGCCTAGAAGTATCTTGATGTCTCTTATCCAGTTACCAAATTTTATGCCAGTTTTATGTCTTTCTCATTCAAAATATATCTACATAAGGGGTTTTTACGTGTAGAAAAGGTATGAATCAGAACAAATATCACAGTCCTTGAGGTAAAACAACTATTAAGACTGAACTAAGTACAATAGCAAAGAGGGGTCTTCCAAATAGAATACTACTGTAACACATTGAGTTCACACCAAAGATTTCATAAATCGGCGCTAGTTACTTTCCTGTGTTCGGAGACTTGATAGATATGCAAGAGAAGGATGCTTTCAACTCTTGACTGCTGCATGGAAAAGAACAAGTTTAACTGTTGGTTTCAAATACTCTTGATCAATTTTACCTTTGTGTAAGCAAGCAGATGAAATTCGTGTTTTCATACAAATTCATGTTTAGGTGACAATGTGCATGATTTTAAACGTTAATTCGTATGCACTGAGTTTTTTTTTTTTTATAGAAAGGCTTCTATTTTGTTCTGAAGTTTATAAATTACATGGGGATTTCATATACAGTGCAGGAAACTTGGGAACTTTATCCCATTGAATTGCTAGCTTCAGCTGTACAACTTTTTCCAACACACTCACACAAAAAAGGTATATTTTAATTTTCTGGCACATTCATATCCCTCACAAAAATTGGTTAATGCTTTCAAAGCACTCATATACAGGTGAGTTAACTTAATTTTTTTCATATGATCTATCACAGTATAAGGCTGATTAAATTGCTTACCAATTCCTCTCCAAACCAGGAGAGTGATCAAATCTTCATTTGCACGTAAAAAGCCTTAAACGTTTCTTGGCCCTTCATTATCAGTGAAATACCTGGGCACAAAATACACACAAAAAATAGATCTGAACATTTTATTAGGAGAGTACACAGAAGAGAACAATCCATTACACTGATACATCTAGAAGTTTGAATAAATGTTTAAATTCCTTGCTTTTCTAGTCTCCCTTCCCATTACAGACTATATAAAATAACCCTTTTCACACTCTTAAAATCACTACCACTCATATATTAAAAACTTATGTATCTAATTTTCAGGCTTAAACTCCATATCACATAGGAAACATCACACAATCAAAGAATCACTAGAAAAATACTCTTTCCCTGGCCATGCTCACAACTCTTCATATAAGCTTCTTGTATGTGAACCTTTAATTTAACTGGCACCAAATTGGTATTTCATGGATAAATATGAAAATTGGTCTTTTATCAGTAAAATCCCCCAAAATTCTTAGATATATACCCTCAGAAAATACAATACTCAGACATTTACACGATCTGTACCACTAAAACCTAGACTAGTTTCATTATGGAATCCTTTCCTGATGAAGAACAGGTCAAGAAAAATTCACAGGTCAAAATAAAAAGGATAAGAACCATGAAATATATGCCAAATGGTCTTGCATAAGATCAGTCTTTCATGTGACCAATAGCCCCTTCCTATATGCGTGTATGGCACAGCAGTCTGGAAGCCAGCCGTTTCGTAATACTGTTAAGGGGAATAATTCTGTTTGCCGTTTACAAGATTTCGTACCGCTCCTTCACTGCTCGTACTAGACAGTGTGACATCCAAACGCCAACCATCTGTGAAGGAAATGAAGATATATTGTTTCAAAATGTAAACTACATTGGTACGTTGGGTGTGAAAACGAAAAAGAATAAAAAAAGGTCACATTTTTATAGGAGATTCAAAAGGACATAAGCACAATAACTTTGCATAAATAGTATCATATCATAACCTATAAATCCATAGTATTTAACCATTACCTATATATGCACTGTATGATACATACCTGCAGCAGGGCAAGGGCAATTGCACCTCCAATAATGGCACCAATGTTGCGCATTGCCGAGTCGTTGAGGGCCGTGTAGCAACCATCAGTGAAGATGGTTTCCGTCTTGTTGACGGAGAACACATTATGGCCACATCCTGTTGAAATTATCTTGCAGCACGTGTCAGGTACTCCAGTGACATTCTTTCCAAAGGTTGTCCCTTCCCACTCAGTGTAGTTGTTTGTTCCACAGCAATGGTACTGAAATGGAAGACACCTTGCTTCAAAGATATGCACACTGAAAAGTAAACTAAAGCACTTCACAGGTAAGGTCTGGCTAAAAGTTAAGTAAACCATAAAACATGTTTAACCAACATTCTATTTACTATAGAATGTTGTGAATTTGTAATGGCATTAACACATTCAAGATTGCAAAGTGCATAATCTGCTGGGGGTGGGGTGGGGATGGGGAGGAAGCACTGAAACAAAAACAAAAATTTCTACCAAGGAAAATAATTCTTATTCATACTTTTTTTTGTTGAAACTTCTTTATCTACACTGCCTCCTTTGTAATATCCTCAGATATGCATTATTAACAATTCTGAAGAAATTAATTCTCTCTACACTGAAAATAAAGACATGTCATACTTTTTAAAAAGGGCAATGCCATGTGGTTTCAGATCAATCTCATAGTGGAACATTATATATATATATACATTTTTTGGCTATATATTTATTTATTATCAGCAAATTGTATAATATCTTAATATCCTAAAAAAGTGCTTTCACACTTTAGACAAGGCAATACTACTATAAATCAGAGAAAATTCTGTAATAAATCTATAGTCCCAACTCCAAAAGGGTGCCTTTGGAATTGTTTCACTATTTGTTTATCTCTCCCACTCAGACACTTCAGATACCTCAGATACTTCAGACACCTTTCTTATGGAGGTCCACCACCAATTCAGCTCTGATTGGTTGAAACACAAGGCAGCTTGAAGATGATTGGCTGCAGTGTGAAATAGCCTGAAAGTGATTGGCTAACAGGTGCTAGGTGCTGTTCAGGCTTACTGTTTAAGCTGTCTGAAGTGTGCTTTAATACTGAGTGCATGTCTCGGGTAGACTTTCCCAACTGACCTCCTATACAATTTCCCTTGCCACCAAATTTCAAGGTACCATTTACCTTGTAATAACCTATGCAATAATATAATAAAATCTAAGAGATCAACAGCAAAATTTAGGTGAATCAGGTAGTGTCATGCCAGTCTGACTTTCATTGTTCTTAAGCCAATATTTATACAGAGTACTTTACAGAGCACCAAGTATATAAATTGTCCACTGTGTTTAGTCTTATTATATTTGCTTACATATAAGAAGGCATCACAGGTGCCTAATCACCAAGGAGGCAATTACGAGACCTAACTGATCTGACTTGTTCACCCTGTTTCTTGAAGTTTATACTTTTATTTGTATTTTAACATGATCACCATTAAGCCTCGTTATAATTGCAACATTAACAACAAAGAGTAATGTAACAGAAAACCATTCTCTCCAATAATTCAAGGACCGAGATAAAGAGGAGAGGTCTTGTAGCTTAGTAACAGAGTCCTCAATGATTCAGTGTTTATAAATAATATCATGAAAACAAAACCAAAATGGACAGTGCATGTACACATCCACTCCCTGTGTCAACAGGTTAAGGCTATATGCATTATCATTTGATATGTATACGGAGTTCTTTACATAGTATTAGTAAGAAATTCATTCTTGTCATGAACAGCACCTTTAACACCCTAATAGTGGTATGATCTGAACCAACTGGAATGACTTCCCTCTCTCCCTCTATGGGGCCCTCTTTACAAAATGAGTTAGTTGCAAAAATAGTGTCAAGACAGTGTAAGCCTAACAAGCACTGTATAGAAGTTGATTAAAATCGTGCCACAAAGGCCTAGTTCTAGCGTGCATGAAAAGCCAATGCAGATAATTTGAAGATCATAAAAAATGCTTGGAATGAAAGTCTTCCTAAACTGAAGATTTCTAAGCAACTGAAAACAAAAGACAATGAAGTTAGATTCATTGCAGTTCAACAATAACTTCTATGTAATAAAACCAGTTGGCATAATCGCTACGAAGAAAAAGAAAAATGTATGCAAGCATCATTTTGGCTTGAAACTGATGTGTAGGACAAAAATGTTGAACAGAGGACTGTGAATGAAATTATTCAATTCAAACAGATGAGACTGTCTGTGAAAGTAATCTAGTGTAAGAACCAACCAGAATACAGCAATGTCAAAGGCCTTAAGTTGTTGCATTTGCTCTTGTTGACAAAATCTTAGGGGACACTAAGATTGAATGAAACATCCCAAAAAGGACAAGAAGAAAAGAAAATAAGATGTAGTAGCGCTAAATTCCTATTGCCAGATAATCCTGAAGAAATCTATACCTGATACCAGATGAATCCTAGCCAATATTTGATTTACTGGGTGCCTTATTGGATAAGATTCTAAAAAAGTTAATACATACTATGCCACTAATGATCTTGCTCATAGTCAAATCTATACTTGCGCCTTTACACACTTTGTGGATGGAAGAAGTCAGAAAGCATGTTTCTGTATCTATTTGATTTGCTATTCAAAATATTAAAAATTTCACTTCAGCCTTTCTCCTTGCTTGACTTCATGATAAGTATTAGCAACTTGCCATCAAAAAATTCATCCAAATTATCCATCGACAATATTCTAAATGAATTTATGACAATCAATAGATTAAATAAAGGATGTAACCGAGTCCTGAGGTGGATAATGGCATGGATCAGTCATGGCCTCCTGAGCTATACTGCTGAACTTATCAACTCTCACAAGGCAACTTATGGCACCCATCACATGACAAACATGTTCAGCATCTAATATATTTCATTTTAAATATGGAGTGCATTTTATCACAGGGTACTAATTAAAGCAGCATGGAACAAAGAAATTTGAAAACCGACTTATTATGGGACAATCTATCATATACAGTCATCCTAATCCTCAAACTATCCAAATGTTCCCGTGCAGTTTAACACAGGTAACAAATAATTCAGACCCTATTAATTTTATCCAGCATTTAGACATGCAATTCACAAACATCTTACAACTGAATGGGTAGTCTAAGTTCACTTGTGTCTCCTCCTTTCAGCTTGAAAGTGACAAATGTTGCTACTGTTCATAATGTAGAGTGTATAGGTTGCCTCTAGACCTTTCTTACAATTCAGGGGAGTTGGACAAATATAGTGTGTTGAAGACATTTCCTTGACTATTTCCTTACTAAACTGCAAAGTGAAAGACAGCTCTTCAGATACAGGTGAATATCTTCGAATACCAGACATGATTTCTTTTCCTGCAATTTCTATTTTTTTACTTTTTTACAAGAACACAAAAACAAATGAAGCCCCCATGCCCTAATATTTTTTTAAACAAAGCTTTGAGATCTTTATCAGGAAAGAACAGGAGAGTGAAGCATAAAATTGACACTAGCCCAAATATAAATTGAAAAAAATATAAAAATCTAAAAAAAATAGTATATTTATGTAATATACCAACAGTATGAATACAGTAATCCACTGCAACACATCACTGTTTATACACATATATGCATTTCATCTAAAAATGGCATAGCAAAAGAAATAGATTGTATAGCTACTTTAAACTCCAAATATCTTGTGTTCATACACAGGACATTTTTTCCCCTCAAAAATGTGAAATGAATTATTAAAAAGGAAAAAAAATAATAATAATAAAATAATGATTAAGTTAAAATTTGGAGAGCTTTGTGACTACATCTCTCTTTTGAAATGAGGTCCTGAATAAGGGCCACAAAAAATGCACCATTTCATTCTCTCTTTTTTTCTCAACCTATAATAACTAAACTACTTCAAAATCCCCATCAAGTAGGCCTAAGAATAAAAAAAAAAGCTGTAAAGAGTTTGAAATAACTTCCCCCTCAAATAAAAGCTTCCTTTATCACACACTTTCTCACACAAGCATTGGCAAAAGTACTCACGTTCTTCTGCAGATCATCCCATGTCTTGGTGACGAGGCTCTTGGGGCTGCCGTATTGCTCCATGGTGTCATCCATGTTCTTCTTGACCAGCTGCTCCACCTGTGGTCGCATGACAGCCACAGTAATACCAGCAGCAATCTCACACAGCAGCACCATTACCATCAGCATGGAGAACTGAAAATTAAAATGAATATTTTTATAATGAATGAATATATTCACAAAATATATGCAGGTTGCAGTCTTAATATCAAACCCAATGGTGCCGAGTAATTGCTTGGTTCTGCATTATGATTTGTGTTTACACAGATGGCTCTACAAGTACTTAGTTATCAAGATGTTAATTAGTAGCCTGACTGCCCTCATCTGCCCAATTCCTTGACTTTTTGGAAAAAAGTTCTGTTTTAATTCTAATGCAATCAATATCATTACTATTCTTATCATTACAGTCACTGGGCTTATCGAAAAGTAGTGGCAATAAGAACTTTTTTCTTTCCAAAATCAAGGACAAACTTAAACAGGTGAGATCAGGTAGGACTAGTAACTGACCTGTGACTAAGCTCTTGTGGAGTTATCTATGTTAAGCAAAATTAACGAACCAAAATATATGGACATAACATGTACGTCTTGCCAACTCGGTTTCACAGAGAACTCTAGCATTTGGAAACGACATCCATACATTTGTTACAGGAAAGATCCTAATCAATCTTTTTAAAAGCAACTGAAGAAAATAATAATAATGACACTAGGTAGAAAAGGTATGAATAAGAATGAATATCTTCACAATACAAGAAATGTATTTGACCGGTTTTGCATATATCATCATAAATACATGTATTTCTGATGAAGATATATTCAAAACCAGGCAAATACATCTCTTGTATTGTGAAGATAATTCTTATTCAAACCTTTCTTACATTTGCCAACAAGAAAAGAGTTCAATAATGACACTAGTTAAGAGCTGAACCTGCACAGTCTAAAACAACTTATTCTATATTGAACACTAAAAGAGATGAATTAAAGAGATCAATTCACCTCCTTTTGATTACTGAAGCCACGCTTTGCCAAACAAATTCAGATTTCCACAACACCACAAATTTTAACAAATAGAACAGTTCTCTTCAATAATTTGATTAAATATTGACAAATATCTTTGAAGTATGAAAATACATAGCTAAGTGAAATCTCAACGAGGAATTATTCCTTTTTGCTGGAGTGGCATGCCATGTCACGTCCACTGTGATTTTAGTTTACTTATTGTGTGTACATACGACTGGCTCCTCAAGTACTTAGTCACCCAGAACCAGTTACTTGTCCTACTTATATCAACAGTTTACCACCATTCCTTGGTTTTTGGATCTTTTTATTAGTTCAATAACATTATAACAATCATAATGACAATATCTTTAAAAGCGTTAGAAAGAGAAGAGAAGAGAAGAGAGAAAAGTGAAGAGAAAGAGAAAAGAGAAAAGAAGAAAAAAAAGAAAAAAGGGAAAAAAAGGAAGAAGAGAATGAAAGAAAAGGAAAAGAAAGAAAAGGAGAAAGGAAAAGAAGAGGAAGAAAGGAAAAAGAAAAAGGAAAAAAAAGAAAAAGAAAAGAAAAAGGAATGGAAAGATAAAGAGGAAGGAAAAAGAAAAGGAAAAAGGAAAAGGAAAAGGAAAAAAGGAAAAGGAAAAAGAAAAGGAAAAGAAAAAGGAAAAGGAATGAAAAAAATACAAAGGAAAAAGGAAAGAAAAAAGAAAAAAGAAAAGGAAAAAGAAAAAGAAAAAGAAAAGGAAAAAGGAAAAGGAAAAAGAAAAAAATAAGAAAAAAGAAAAAGGAGAAGGAAAAAAGAAAAAAGGAAGAAGGAAAAAGAAAAAGGAGAAGGAAAGAAAAAGGAAAAGAAGAAAAAAAGGAAAAGAGGAAAAAGGAAAAAAGAAAAAGAGTAAAGAGAAAGAAAAGAGAAAAGAAGAAAGAAGAAAAAGAAAAGGAATGAGGAAAGAGAAGGAAAGAAGAGAAAGGAAAAGAGAAGGAAAAAGAAAAGGAAAAAAGAAAAGGAAAAGAAGGAAAAAGAAGGAAAAAAGAAAAAGGAAAAAGAAAAAGGAAAAAAATAGGAAAAAGAAAAGAAAAGGAAAGAAAAAGAAAAGAGGAAAAGAAAAGGGAAAAAGAAACAAAAAGAAAAGAGAAAAAAGGAAAAAGAAAAAAAGAGAAAAAGAAAAGGAAAAGAAAAAAGGAAAAAGTAAGGAAAAGGAAAAGGAAAAAGGAAAAGAGAAAAAGAAAAAAGAAGAAAAGAAAGAAAAAGAAAAGAGAAAGAAAAAAAGAAAAAAAAAAGAAGAGAAAAGAAAAAAGAAAAGAAAAAAGAAAGAAAAGGAAAGAAAAATCCCAAAAATTCGAGGAATGAGGACTGGGCTATTCCCTGAGCCCTTGGTGGCTGAGTCCTTGTGGAGCCATCTATAAACAAAACATGTACCGGCATACAAAGGGTTAATCATGTTACCAACAATCCATAAAATCAGATCAAAAGGAAAGATTAGGAAATATTTCATTATGTTATCTGAACTTTAATCCTAAAACTGAACTTTAATCCTAAAAGTAACTAATTCATAATCCTCAGAGAATATCTGGCCTTTTGGACCCAAGAAATGTCTTTTGTTTACAAGTATTTCCTCCTAGTATACAGACGTGTCACATGTCTTCGAACAACGTTCATTGGGACAATTATAGAAAAAGGTATGAATGAGAATAAACTTCTTGACAGCACAATTATAAAAAAAGGTATGAATGAGAATAAATATCTTCTTGACAGCACAATAGACATAATATCATTATCACTTCAATTATCAATACCACCATCATAATCCATATCATTATCAGTATCATTATCATCATCCTCAACATTATTAATCATATTGGTTCAATGGAAGCCACAAATTACGTTCTTTAAAGATCACTGTCTAAACCAACAGCGCTTCTATCTTTTTTTATAATACAGAGCCATATTCTTATAGCTATGCCTCTTAACATTAATTATCTGAAATCACAGCCAAGTCCAAAGCTAAGCCAATTTTCAGTATAACCTTGTTGTTCTTCACACTTCCACAATAGTGAATTTTATGTTCTTCAATTTTGATCTTTTTCCTAAAGATACATAGAGAAGTATGATCAATCCTCTACAGAATAAATGGTCTAAATAGTCTCCTCACATGACTTTAAACGATAAAATAGGTGGCACAAGAGGCTTTTGTACCTGAATATATTCTCATTAAAACATAAATCAAAAGAAATTTCACACCACAGAGAAGCCACAAAAGTGAAAGCACTTACCGTACGCAGCATGCAGACATTCTCCTTCTTGGCTCCGCAGCATCCAAAGAAGGAAACTACCAGGATGATGGTGCCCAAGATGATGAGGCCAATAGCAGGGGTCTCAAACTTGCCATCAAAGAACTGCAGGTACGAGCTGAAGAAGACTTGGGCGACGACCCCTACAGAAATCAGGATGATCCCGGACAGCTGAAATTCGAAGAAAATGTATAAGACCAAAAGGAATAAGAAACATTGGTTCTGCTGTGCCTCAGAACTCAAAAAAATAGCCTTTACAAACATGATGCACCAGAACAAAGAAAGACAAAAAGAGAAAGGAAAAAAAAAAAAAAGGAAAATGAGGTTTATCCCTTCCTATATGTACCACCTAAGATTAGCCCACTGGCACTGAAGCCATACCTGCTGACCTAAATGGTACGGTTTCAACTCGCAGCAGGTGACAAAGAAAACCTCCCTCCCACACCTATACCCACACAACTATTCATATAACCATATGGAGTAAATACATTCATAACTATATATGCATTTACATTTATACAAGTTTGACTAAAGTTTGCAGCTTATCAAACACATTTTTAGTAAATATAAATAAAACACAATCTTAATTTTTAAGGTCAATGTCAACATCTGTTAAAGATTTAAATGTAAACAAACAAAAGAAATAATGATTATTCTATTGATATCAGCACCAACATTATTTAGTCAGAACACTTCTCAATGAAAATCTCAACCAATAAATAAAAAAGATACTAAGAAATAATACTATGAAACAGTTTCTCAATAAACCTGACCATCCTCAATGAAAAAACATTTTCAAGTGGTAAAATTTGTACTATGTGAAAATCCACATAAAAACAGTAATGTTAAATTCAGAAAGGTCAAAACACCAAGTCTAAACAAAACATCTTGAGACTGCTTCACCCAAAGGTACAGCACAGGTGTTAGAACATCTGCGAGTCCAATTATGAGTAATTGAGGAAGCTGCCAAACTGTATTCCACTCCCATGCATGGAATTTCTGGGGGGTTTAAATCATCCGTCACAGCAGGGTAAAGAACTGTATTCCAACAATCTACTTGGTAATACATGTCCCTCAGGTACCAATTACTCAGAGGAGGGACTTTTCTGGCTACTCTTTATTAACAGTTGTAGAATGTGAAGTAATAGGAACAGGTAATATACCAATGGCTCAATTCAGATCAAGCAACTGTCTCTCAAAGTACGTTTCATACGGTTCATTAAATAGTGGATCGAGTTTTTATCTTTTAGTTTTACTTAGAACAGGATCTTTATATTACAAGCACACAATAATGTACATACATTTTGAACCAAAGCATTCAAATAAACCAAAAAGGTTTCAATACTTCTCAAATTCAGTCACTTGCTCATTTTTATTGGAAAGTATTTTATCTGTTGTATATCTGAATTGAGACAATGGTATATTCCCAGGCCCTACTACTTTGTATCACAACAGTTGTAAACAAAGATTAGGCCAAGCCATACAAGTCCCTTTGTGTATATCTCTTACTTCCTATCGAATGTATGATGCAAAAGATTGTCAACCTCGCAGTAAAATGAAATGAGCTGGAATTGTCCTTTTGATGCTAATCTACCACAATATATTTCAGAGTATATGGAATGGATTGAAAGGGAAAACATAAACCATCTTTATCAGAGCAGAATGCAAATAATTTTTTTTTTCTTTTTATGGAATCCTTTTCATTTCTTGTTAAATCTCTCTCATCCCCTCCCTTTCCTCTCCTTATCCGTATCCCCTGCCCTTCCTCTCATTATCCTTAATCTCCCCTCCCTTCCCTCTCCTTATCCTTATCCCTTTTTCCCCTTTCTCTTCCTTATCCTTATCCCTCCCTTCCTCTCCTTATCTCCTTATCCCCTCCCCTCCCCTTATCCCCTCTATCCCCTCCCCTTCCTCTCCTTATCCTCTTCCTCCCCTCCCCTTATCCCTCCCCTATCCTTATCCCCCCTTCCCTCCTCTTCCTTATCCCTTCCCTTCCTCTCCTTATCCTTATCCCCTCCCCTTCCTCTCCTTATCCTTATCCCCTCCCTCCTCCCTCCTCCCCTCCTCTCTCCTTATCCATCCCTTCCTCTCTTTCCCCTCCCCCTTCCTCCTCTCCTTATCCTCCTTATCCTTATCCCTCCCTTCCTCCTTATCCTTATCCCCTCCCCTTCCTCCTTATCCTTATCCCCTCCCTATCCTTATCCCCTCCCTTATCCTTCCTCCCCTCCTCTCCTTATCCTATCCTTATCCCCTCCCCTTCCTCTCCTTATCCTTATCCCCTCCCCTTCCTCTCCTTATCCTTATCCCCTCCCCTTCCTCTCCTTATCCTTATCCCTCCCATCTCTCCTTATCCTTATCCCATCCCCTTCCTCTCCTTATCCTTATCCCCTTCCTTCCTCTCCTTATTCCTTATCCCCTCCCCTTCCTCTCCTCCTTATCCCTCCCTTCTCTCCTTATCCTTATCCCTTCCTCCTTCTCTTATCCTTATCCCCTCCCCTTCCTCTCCTTATCCCCTCCCCTTCCTCTCCTTATCCTTATCCCTCCCCTTCCTCTCCTTATCCCATCCCCTCCCCTTCCTCTCCTCTTATCCCATCCCTTCCTCTCCTTATCCCCTCCCCTTCCTCTCATCCTCTCTCTCCTTTATCATCCCTCCCTTCCTCCTTATCCTTAATCCCTTCCTTCCTCTCCTTATCCCCCCTCCCCTTCCTCTCCTTATCCTTATCCCCCCCTTCCCCTCCTTATCCTTATCCCCTCCCCTTCCTCTCCTTATCCTTATCCCTCCCCTTCCTCTCCTTATCCTTATCCTCTCCCCTCCTCTCCTTATCCTCTCCCCTTCCTCTCCTTATCCTCTTGCATCCTCTCCTTATCCTCTTGCATCCTCTCCCTTTCTCATTATCCTCTTGCATCTTCTCTCCTTTCATCCTCTCTCCTCTCCTCTCCCTTTCTCATTATCCTCTCTCTCCTCTCTCTCTCTCCCTCTCTCTCATTATCCTCTCTCTCCTCTCCTCTCCCTTTTCTCATTATCCTCTCTCTCCTCTCCTCTCCCTTTCTCATTATCCTCTCTCTCTCTCCTCTCCCTTTCTCATTATCCTCTCTCTCCTCTCCTCTCCCTTCTCATTATCCTCTCTCTCCTCTCCTCTCCCTTTCTCATTATCCTCTCTTCCTCCTCTCCCTTTCTCATTATCTCTCTCCTCTCCTCTCCCTTTCTCATTATCCTCTCTCTCCTCTCCCTTTCTCATTATCCTCTCTTCTCCTCTCCCTTCATTATCCTCCTCCTCTCCCTTTCTCATTATCCCTCTCCTCTCCCTTTCTCATTATCCTCTCTCTCTCTCTCTCTCCTCTCCCTTTCTCATTATCCTCTCTCTCCTCTCCCTTTCTCATAATCCTCTCTCTCCTCTCCCTTTCTCATTATCCTCTCTCTCCTCACCTCCCTTCCTCCTTATCATCCTCCTCTCTCTCTCCTCACCTCCCTTCCTCCTATCCTCTCTCTCTCTCTCTCCTCACCTCCCTTCCTCCTTATCCTCCCTCTCTCTTCTCACCTCCCTTCCTCCTTATCCTCCCTCTCTCTCTCCTCACCTCCCTTCCTCCTCATCCTCCCTCTCTCTCTCCTCACCTCCCTTCCTCCTTATCCTCCCCTCTCTCTCTCTCCTCACCTCCCTTCCTCCTCCTCATCTCTCTCTCTCTCCTCTCCTCTCCTCCCTTCCTCCTTATCCTCTCTCTCTCTCTCTCTCCTCCCTTCCTCCTTATCCTCTCTCTCTCTCTCCTCACTCCCTTCTCCTTATCCTCTCTCTCTCTCTCTCTCCTCCCCTCCCTTTCTCCTTATCTCTCTCTCTCTCTCCTCACCTCCCTTCCTCCTTATCCTCTCTCTCTCTCTCCTCACCTCCCTTCCTCCTTATCCTCTCTCTCTCTCTCCTCACCTCCCTTCCTCCTTGTCATCTCTTCTCTCTCTCTCCGTCTCTCTCTCTCTCTCTCTCTCTCTCTCTCTCTCTCTCTCTCTCTCTCTCTCTCTCTCTCTCTCTCTCTCTCTCTCTCTCTCTCCTCACCTCCTTCCTCTTTGTCCTCTCTCTCTCTCTCCTCACCTCCCTTCCTCCTTATCCTCTCTCTCTCTCCTCACCCCCCTTCCCCTTCCTCCTCTTCTCCTTCCTCCTCCTCTCTCTCTCTCTCACCCTCCTTCCTCCTTATCCTCTCTCTCACCTCCCTCCTCCTCCTCTCGTCCTCTCTCCTTCCTTCCTCCTCCTCTCTCTCTCTCTCTCTCACCTCCTTCTCCTTATCCTCTCTCTCTCTCTCTCCTCACCTCCCTTCCTCCTTATCCTCTCTCTCTCTCTCCTCACCTCATCCTCTCTCTCTCTCTCTCATCTTCCATCCTCTCTCTCTCCTCACCTACCTTCCTACATATCCTCTCTCTCTCCTAATCACCCTTCATCTCCTATCCTCTCTTCTTTCCCCTTACCCTCTCTCCTCATCCCCTTGCCCCTTAACCTCTATCCTCATCTCCCTTCCTCCCTTCCCCTTAACCTCTATCCTCATCTCCCTTCCCTTTAACCTCTATCCTCATCCTCCTTCTCTTTAATCTCTATCCTCATCTTCCTTCTCTTTAACCTCTATCCTCATCTTCCTTCTCTTTAATCTTCCTAACCTCTATCCTCATCTTCCTTCTCTTTAACCTCTATCCTCATCTTCCTTCTCTTTAACCTCTATCCTCATCTTCCTTCTCTTTAACCTCTATCCTCATCTTCCTTCTCTTTAACCTCTAATCTTCCTTCTCTTTAACCTCAATCCTCATCTTCCTTCTCTTTAACCTCTACCTCATCTTCCTTCTCTTTAACCTCTATCCTCATCTTCCTTCTCTTATCTCCTCATCTTAACCTCTATCCTCATCTTCCTTCTCTTTAACCTCTATCCTCATCTTCCTTCCTCATCCTCATCTTCCTTCTCTTTAACCTCTATCCTCATCTTCCTTCTCTTAACCTCTATCCTCATCTTCCTTCTCTTTAACCTCTATCCTCATCTTCCTTCTCTTTAACCTCTATCCTCATCTTCCTTCTCTTTAACCTCTATCCTCATCTCCTTCTCTTTCTTCCTCATCTTCCTTCTCTTTAACCTCTATCCTCATCTTCCTTCTCTTTTAACCTCTATCCTCATCTTCCTCTTTAACTCATCCTCATCTCCTTCTCTTTAACCTCTATCCTCATCTTCCTTTTAACTCTTCCTCATCTTCCTTAACCTCTATCCTCATCTTCCTTCTCTCTATCCTCATCTTCCTCTTTAAACCTCTATCCTCATCTTCCTTTCTCTTTAACCTCTATCCTTCTTCTTCTCTCCTCTATCCTCATCTTCCTTCTTTAACCTCTATCCTCATCTTCCTTCTCTTAACCTCATCCTCAACCTCTATCCTCATCTTTCTCTTAACCTTCCTCATCTTAAAAATCCCTCATCTTCCTTCTCTTTAACCTCAATCCTCATCTTCCTTCCTCTCATCTTCCTTCTCTTTAACCTCAATCCTCATCTTCCTTCTCTTTAACCTCAATCCTCATCTTCCTCTCTTTAACCTCAATCCTCATCTTCCTTCTCTTTAACCTCAAATCCTCATCTTCCTTCTCTTTAACCTCAATCCTCATCTTCCTTCTCTTTAACCTCAATCCTCATCTTCCTTCTCTTAACCTCTCCATCTCCTTCTCTTTAACCTCAATCCTCATCTTCCTTCCTTAAACTCTCATCTTCCTTCTCTTTAAACTCTATCCTCATCTTCCTTCTCTTTAAACTCTATCCTCATCTTCCTTCTCTTTAAACTCTATCCTCATCTTCCTTCTCTTTAAACTCTATCCTATCAACTCTTCCTCATCTTCTCTAAAATCTCATAACTCTATCTCATCTTCCTTCTCTTAAACTCTATCCTAACTCTATCCTCATCTCTTCTCTTTAACTCTATCCTCATCTTCCTTCTCTTTAAACCTCTATCCTCATCTTCCTTCTCTTTCCTCTATCATCTTCCTTCTCTTTAACCTCTTCCTCATCTTCCTTTCCCTCTATCCTCATCTTCTTCTCTTCTCCTCTATCCTCATCTTCCTCTAACCTCCCCCCTTCTCTTTAACCTCTATCCTTACCTTCCTTCTCCTTAACCTCTATCCTTACCTTCCTTCCTTCCTCTTCTCCTCCTTTCCTGTAACCTCTATCCTCATCTCCCTTCCTCCCTCTCCCTCAAACAGCTGTATAACCCCCTCCCTCCCCCCCTACCCCCTCCCCCCCAACACAGCTGCGAACAAAAGCTGTCCCATTTCCCCGCCAGAGACACACACCTGCTGCCTCCGATGCCCATTTCCGCGACGCACCTAAGCTGTATTCTTGGCAAGAGGGAAGTTTTGGGGGAAATGGTAATAATAGAGGAGGAAGTTTTGGTGTTTTTGGTTGGATTACGGAGGTTGGGGTTTGAGGAAGTTTGGTTTGATTGGGTGGCGTGGGGTTGTGTGGGTATTGTGGGCATGGTGTGGGTAGCTGGTAAGATGTGTTGGTGTGGGTAAAGGGTGGGTTTGTCTGGGCCTCGTGATTACGCCATGTTAAAGCGCCGTGTCTGAGGATTGTTGTCTGTATATACCTAATCGCGATATACTTACGAAGAAGATGAAATTGAAGATGAAGACCAGGTACTTGATCGTGAGTGGGCCACATCCTAAATTACTTTCCGCCATTTTTATAGTAGTTAGTATCAGCGACTCTTCCTTCTCTCACACTCTGATTGAAACTGGCGACTGCTTGTCAACCGGACGTTCTG